GTATGGCAAAACAAAAGCAGGGTGTCAAAACGCGCCCGACGGTTTAAAGGACCCCCCGCTGCTTATGGAAAAAAAAAAAAAAAAAAAAACAGAAAGAAAGAAAGAAACGCCCAGCTGCGGGGCGGCTCACGACGCGCGATCTTATCACGGCTGGGCCTAAACAAACCGATCACCACGCTGAGTTCAATGCTGCACAGTTCTCGGTTCTGGAGTCGAACATCCAAGCAGCAGCTTCCATTAAGAAGATGGGAAAATAAGCGTTCTGGGGATCACTGATACAGCTGTTACATAACGCACCGTTACCATGGCAGCGGCAGCCCCCGGGTCGTGTTTGGAGCAACACGGGCCGACCTTCCAGGCTTCCACGTCGCCGCAGTCACAGAACCCCCCGCCGGATGACGCGTGCATCTGAGGGAAAAACAGTAGATGAGTCACAGAGGGCGAGATGATGGATACACACAACAGTAATTAAGTTAGAGGGTTCTGTGGGAACCGAGCGGCACAAGCAGCATCACTGAACAGAACCCAAGATTCAAAGAAAAATGAGCACATGTAAATATTTACATTAACACCAACCTTGTAGCGATGGTTTTTGTGCACACTGTCCTGGAAGCAGTCCATGCACAGCACACAAGTGGGATCTATTGCACAGTCTCTGAAACAGGATGAACAGGATGAATATAAAACAAAGAAAAATCATTTAGTTTAAAACTTGATAAAAATGGACAAAAACAACTTCCACTAAGAAAGACTCCAGGCTGGGATTTAAATCCTAAACCTTCTTGCAGAAAGGCAACAGTGCAACCAACAAACATATGATTAATTATCAATTGATGGTTTATTAGATTAAAATTAGTTCTGATCAATTAACTAATAACGTCCACTAAGGGCTGGACACTATGAAAATTTGTCTTGATATTGATATCCAATATTAATATTACTTTATGGACGATAACTGATATTTAATAATATTACATATATTTCTCTACATTATGCGCCTTTGGGGAAAAAAACAACCAGAGAAAAACGGCAAAAAGAGGAAAACCAACATCGGTTGTTATTATCGGCCGATACTGATGTTAGAGACGATATATCGTGCATCACTGCTCTAAACTACACACTGCAACACACATCTTAATCACATTTTAAAATTTCCTGATACTTATTTATGCTTTTCTGGAATGAACAGTGGTGAAGATAACATTTGCAATAAACTGTCAGTCTTTGAGCAGACCTGCAGGAGTAAACAGTCTCTCCCTCCTTGAACACGCGGCCGCAGAGCTGAGACGAGGCGCTGCCTTGCTGCAGCTTCTGCCGACCTTCCTGAGGATCCTCTCCGAACAGGAAGCACTCCAGAGGATGAAGGAGCCGCCTCTGCGTCAGCTCCTCTTCCTCCGGAGGACTGAGCTCCTTCTTCAGGCAGAAGATCTGCGGCACCTGCTCCTTCAGGTGCTGCAGCAGCTCCGCCCTGCAATCTGCCGCCTCCAGCCATTCCTTTAGGGACAACAAGGAGAAAACGCCCTGTTGACTATTGAAACAAAACCGCATGAGCGTTTTTTTCAAAGCTGTTCATATTTGAATTATTATTTCCAGGGCTGTCATACCAAATTTTGCTGGATGATAAATTCTCGCAGAAGTTATTGCAATAATGATAATATTGTTGTTTTAAGACCATAATCAAGTAATACAATGTAATGGCATAATAATTCAAGAATGCATCCTCAAAAATCAACAAACTTTAAATTCTAATGAATATTTAACACTTGAACTGGAAGAAATTTTAAATATCCAAAATAAGTTAACAAAAAAAAAAAAGCAACAACAACACAGAAACAACAAATAAAATTAATTATGGAGTTACTGCAAACAAAATTGTCCTTCAAAATAAAGAGCAAATAGAGACTAAAGCACCAGACTGAAGAATTTTATCATCCAGATTTCGGTAGGAAGAGAGAAAAGAGAAAAACAATAAATCATGCAGATAGAAATTATTGAGTTTGTTTTAATTTATCAAGCGATTAATTGATTTATTGTTTATTGTGACAGGCCTAATTATGTCTACAGATGGTAGATAGAAAAATGGACAAATGGATCAAGACTAATACAGGCTGGAAATGCACATATATTTTATTTTAATACTTTGAATATTTAAACTCTATACCTTCCCAGATTTTGTGGGAACTCTGGTTATGCCCAAGTGTTTGCTTTCATGCAGATTAGGGCTGAAACAATTAATCATGATGAATCGATTATTGAAATAAAAATGCTATAAAATGTTTATTTTCTTACTTATATGGTGGATTATTTGTTTATTTATATCTTTTAGTGTATTTCTAAAAGTGCATAAAAAATGTTTACTTGAAAAATCTGCAGAATGTGCCAATTTTTTAGCAATTAATTGTCAGAATTATCTTCAACTAAAATAATCATTACTTGCAGCCCTACTGTAGATCAACTAAAACTAATGGTAAAAATTACAGTTGAGTTATTCTATGACATTCACAGCAATTACAAAGAAGTTGTACTGAGGAGAACTTTTGAAGTTACTCACATCCAACCAAAGTGGCTAAAATTTGCGGTTTCCACTAAATAACATGACGGCACATGAGGCTGTCACCAGATAAAGACAAACTGTTACAGCAAAGTGATTCCTGGTATTTATCAGATGTTATGTAAATATCCTAAACCATTACAGCCACCTTCACTCATTGGCCACTTTATTTGGTACATCTGTTTAACTGGTTGATTTAATTTTTTAACCAATCATATGACAGCAATCCAATGCCTTTTGATATCTAAACCTGAAGTTGTTCAAACCAATCAGAAAAATAGCCAGAAAAGGCATTGAAGTGAGTTTGAATGTGGCTGACACATAGATTTTCACACCTGGATTTCAGAAAAGGATCCGCTAAAGAGAAAATACCCAGTAAGGGGAATTTGCAAGGATGAAATAGCCTTTTTGATGATATCTCTGAACAAACAACACTCTGAATTTCGAAGCAGACAGCTTCCACCAACAGTAGGCCACACTGAATATCACTTCTGTCAGCTAATATCACAAAACTGGGGCTAAATTCACACCAAAATTTGACAACAAAAGATTAAAAAAAAGGTTGCCTGATCTTAATTCAACTGCAACATTCAGTTAGAGCAAAGCCTAAGTTGATAAATAGCAAGACTGTCTGCATCAAATCCTTATCAAATACAAAGTGTTTTATTGTGTTAACGCCTCTTGGCAAGAGAGTTCAACTGAATTTAGATCGCTATTAAAACAAAAAGTCAGTAGGATTCAGTTTTGCTTTCACATTAAAAACATTAACAAGAACAATGACGGAAAATAGGCCTGATTTTCACCCACAAAACCCAGCAAAACATCCGAAACTGAAAAGCATATTTATAAACAGTTCAGAGACAAAAATCTCAAACTAATGCTGCTTTAAACCTAAACAATGAGCTGGATTAATAAAACTAAAACTAATTGTGGTTCAAAACACACAAATACACTTAAACAAACTGGTTGTTGAGCAGTAAATATAAAACAATAATGAATCCTGCTTAAAACCCATTCACATATGTAAATAAACACGTTTATGTACATTTAATTGGAGGCTCTTTGAGGCTAGTTGGTAGTTAGCCTGAGAGCTGTTTTAGCTTAGTCGGAACGGTGCTCTGTCACAAAGCAAAAAAGACCGTTAAATTCCCAGAAATGATCTCGGTGCAATCCGCGGTCTGCCCTTAGATTGTCGGTCAGCTGTCAACTGAATTTAATCCCAGAACATCTCACCTGACTGAGCTGCAGCCCCTCTGACGGCTTCTCACTGTCCGCCATGTTCAGGTCTTGTTTAAGGAGCATGCGTCATAGGGAGACCGTTTCCTGTTACACGGATCTGCGGTTCTGAGCGAATCTCCAAAGCGCTGAGTCAGGCTAACCACCAGGGGGCGCCAGTAAAGATTGTCTCCTGTCGCTGAGCTGATGAATGCGGAAGAGGTGGAGGTCAGAGTTGAATGTTTGACAGAAAGCTGAATATGGATTCCATATTTCATGAGAAAGTAGGTAAAATATTTAATCTGAGTCGCTTATCTGTAAATGTTGACTGCAACCCGTCGTGTGAGTGTCGGTGTCAGTTTAGCAGCCGGTAGCTGCCGCTGCTAGCTGAGCTGTGGGGTTGTTGTTTGTTCTGAATGCTAACTGCTAGCTCACCAGCTAACAAGATAGACTTAAAAGTTTGTTTTCAGATAGTTTTAACAGCTTTAAACTAATTATTTGAGGTTCCCAAACTGTGATTTTATTAGTAATAAAAGTTGCATTAATAAAGCGATGTGTTGTCGCTGTGGAATAAAACCACTAATTTGATGTTTTTGATTAGTTTGATTCCTGAAGACTACTGGATGTTTATAAATTATACTGTGGGATCTGGTGATCGATCGGTTACTCTGATTTAAAGTCATAATCACTACGTTTTAAAATGATACATCCTGTGTTTACAGTAAGAATAAATGTAATAATTTCCAATGGTGCGCCTTCTTAAGTATTTTTTTTATCTATGAAGATAGATTTTTCTCTGCCCTTTAGTTATACTTTATTATTATTTATGCTGTCTGTATTTATTTGGTTGTTTTTAAAATGTGCTTGTATGTATTTTTAACTTCTGTTGAGCACTTTATGTTAAACTGCGACGTATGGAATAAAATTGAACTAACTGGTTGAGTTTTGATAATTTATCCTCTTACTTTTCATTCTGCTCTGATTCTTTTCTAATGCTGAATTCAATGTGCTTACGATATTCCCAATAAGTAAGAGTATTACGAAGAGTAGCTCTAGTAGTGATGACAAAAATAATAAAGATAATATTGATGCTAATAATGTTAAAACAACAACAACATAATATATCTTGATAATTTCACGTATTTACTGTATTGGTGTCCAAAGTGCGGCCCAGGGGCCAGTTGTGGCCCTCTGAGTGATTTTGTGTGGCACCCAACTGCAATTCAAGAATGATTTTTTAAAAAGTGGCTTGTCCATCACAGGTGCAAGCTTTACTTTAAATCAGGATAAAATTGTTAGAATTAATATTTTATGTTGTAATTTTCTCGCAATAGAAAATATTAAGTAAACTGTGTATATATTTTTATGACAAGCCAACTTTGCTGCATCTAATAATTATATAATATTATTTTGTTTTGCAGCAAGAAGGCTCCCTGTGTGCCCAGCACTGCCTGAACAACCTCCTGCAGGGGGAGTACTTCACCCCCGTGGATCTGTCCTCCATTGCCCACCAGCTGGATGAAGAGGAGAGGATGAGGATGGCCGAGGGTGGCATGGCCAGTGAGGAGTACCGGACGTTTTTACAGGTAATCAGAGGACAAAACGTAGCTTAAAGCGGCGTCATGTAACTTTTACTAGAACACGTTTTTTACATATATGTTAAAACTGTCATGGCAGATAATCTGTAAACAAATTGAGCTCCTCTGCCTCCTGCCTGAGCTACTATTGCTGTGTGAAAAAATGCTCCTGACCAGAAACAACCAATCAGAGCCAGGAGGAGGGGCTTAGCGCTGTCAAACAACCTCATATAGTCAATGTTAAATGTGCAAATGGCGAAGAAAGAATTTAACAGGAAAACTGTTTATTCTCCATCATCTGTAGCTACACTAAGTAGCATTAGTATTCATGACAGGCTGTGCTGGTGGATACAGTGTAGCAGGAGCACTAAGGCTCTTATTGGTTGTTTCTACTTTTTTTTTGTTTATGTTTTCACAAATTATCTGTGTCATACTATTCTGTCACAATATGTAAAATATATTAGAAAAGCTACATACTTTAGCTTTAAGTCATGCTTAATGTTCTATTTTTATGTTTAAAGCAACCCTCAGGGAACATGGATGACAGTGGATTCTTCTCGATACAAGTACGTCTTTAAATCCCTCCTTATTGCCAGTAAATCTAAAGTCCTGACTTCAGATGTTTTAGCTCCTGTTTATCTGCTGGTCGCTACAGGTTATTAGCAACGCTCTGCGGGTGTGGGGCTTGGAGCTGATCCTTTTTAACAGCCCAGAGTACCAGAGGCTGATGATAAACCCGATGTAAGGGGCCGTCGCTGAGCTGTGAAGAAGTTAAAACTTACATTTCAGTGGAAACTGATGCAGTCTTTTATGTTTCAGAAATGAAAAAGCTTTCATTTGCAACTATAAGGAGCACTGGTTTACTATACGCAAACTGGGACAGCAGGTATGATGCCGCCTTTTAGTTTTTAATAACTCTAGTTGATGCAGTTCACCAGAAGCTCTGATTTCACTGCAGTGGTTCAACCTGAACTCCCTCCTGACTGGACCGGAGTTGATATCGGACACATATTTAGCCCTTTTCCTCGCACAGCTGCAACAGGAAGGTACGATAAAATAAATCAGGAGCGTGAAAGCCTTGAAAATATTTTTAAGTTTTGAAAAGTGTTGATTTCTGTATAAAGTCTTTGAATGTGAATAGTTTAGCAATAAAATGCAATCTATTTTTTGATTAAAAGTCTGAATTTAGAAAATGTTATTTATAGCTGAAACCAGATATTTTCAGTCCCCTAATAAAGACAGACATTTTTTTTCCTTGCTATCTGAAGTTAAATCAGTCAAAAAATTTATTGTTTAAGGTTTTGCAGAATTGCCAAAATTATTTCTATTTGCTAAATGCCAGAAAACTTGGCAAGAACATTTTTGAGAATTTTTTTTGTAACTTTATTTGTGTTTAAACATTTAATTTGAGCTCAAAGCTCATTAACCTTAACATAATTTGTTTGGATTGTTTCAGTGTAATGAATATATTTTATTCCCATTTCCTCACAGACTTATTGATCATGTTATACTTTAAATATTAAGCAAAACTACTGAAATTGTGGGATTTTTTTTGTTAAATTTCTGTTTTGTTCACAGGCCAGTCACGTGAATGTGAGACAGTCCAAAACATAAAGTTTTGTTATATTTTAGTTTATTTGTTGCTGCTCTAGATTGTAGAATATGATCACAATGCATTATTAATAACAGTAATAATCATATAATCACGAATTGAAACTATAATCTTTAGTTCATTTGTTTATTTTGGTGCTGGAATAGTAAATTTCGTTTAGTTTTTAGTGCAGATATCTTAATACACTTGAAATAAGGCAAACTATCTTAAAAATAGCCTTTCAGCAAGATCCAGATGCTTGTTGTAAGTAAATTATTACTTAATATTGATGAAAAATCAATAGCTCCGCTTGGAAAATGGGAAAAATATCATTATAAATTAAATAATCAGCCAATTGTACTAGTATTTTTCATCATTATTAAGGAATTATTGACTCAAACACCCTTTATATTTTGATGAAAAGTTACATGTTAGTTTTGTTTTATTTCAAGTGATTTACCTTAACTAAGTTATAAACTAGACCAAATAACTTGGTAACATTTAGCATTTTTGCAGTGTGAATTTTACTGAGCGAACCCTGATAAATTCTCTCACATGTCGGGTTCAGATTAGAAATATTAAATCTGTATTTATGCAGGTTATTCCATATTTGTAATCCGGGGAAATCTCCCAGAGTGCGAGGCGGAGCAGATCCTGGGGATCATGCGGGTCCACCAGCAGCAGCGGCCCAGACTCATCGGCGAGGACGAGGCCCAGACCAGCATGGGGTACGTCTCCGCAGCACGCCGGCGTCTCGACCCAACAGAACCGCTAACGCCGGTGTTTACTGCCAGCAGGACGTCGACCTCTCAGGTGCAGACGGACGCGGGTTTTGTTGTAGAGGACGAGGATGAGGAGCTGAAGAGAGCTCTGGCGCTCAGCAGGCAGGACATGGATGTGGAAGACGAAGAGGCCGACGTTCGGAGAGCTATTCAGCTCAGCATGCAGGGTGACGGGATTAATGGAGTCATTTATCGGAGCAGCCTTCACTTTTTCCATTTTTCCTCATTTCTCTCCTTCCTTCCTTTTTTCCATCCTACCTCCTTTCCTTTTTTTTGTTTTTGCTCCATATTTAAAGCCTGCATGCTTTAAAAATGGCCGCCATATTTTCAGAACAAACTTTATTATTTTGTGTTTCAAAGTGAGGGAACTCTGGGAGTTTACATCTGGAAAATGTACAAAAAAAATTTACAAACATTTCAACGTATTCTTACACTTTCTCCCTCTCTCCTCTCTCTCTTCCATGTTTTTCAGGAGCCGTGATGAGCAACTCGTCTTCGGAGTGCGAGGCTTTAGGTGTGAAATCCAGCAGCGCTGATGAAGGACAAAAAGTCCAGAGCGAGACGCTGACAGCGGAGGAGCTGAGGAAGAGGAGACAGGCCTACTTTGATCGGTAGGATGAAGCAGACTCTTCATCTCCACCTAACAGAGGAATTAAAAAACACGTTTTAGAGTAAAATCGTCTCTGATTCCTGCTTTAGGCAGCAGCAACAAGCTCAGCCAAACATTCCCCAACAGCCAGACACAAATCCAGGTGAGGAAACTCTCTTTGCATCATTAAAATGTTGAAACCTTTGGGGAAAAAAGTTATGGAAATTTTCACATTTCATGTTTTGGGTTAAATTTCTTGATCCTGAATATTTCTGATACATTCAGTGGCAGAAAGACGTTTAGTGAGTCTGAAAACCCAAAAGAAAATAAAACAAATTTTAACAAATTAGTTCATTTAGATAGTCTGTTGCTACTCCATTTTTGTTTACATTTTGTGGAGAGGGACGTTTCACTCTCTCTTCCTCTGAGGTTTTGGTGTCGTTTCCTTAGGTGGTTATTGATGCAGCGCCACCACAGGCGAGGAAGGGAACAGGTTTTTAAATTGGTTTGATCTGTTTAAACGACCGTGTTAGGGCCACACCAAGAAAAAATAACAATAAAATTATGAGAATAAAGTCATAATATTACAACTTTATTCTGGTAATATTATGACTTTATTCTCTGATTATTTCAACTGTATTTTTGTAATTAATTTTTTCTTGGCATGGACCCAATACTCTGTCATTTATCTGACAGTGAAGCATGAATGAGAACCACAGCAGCTGAAAATGTAACAAAAGTCGCAACTTTAGTCCCCAATCAGGTGTGAAATCACCCAATGAACAGTTAATTTGAAACACAAACACTTTCAGCTTCTTTCCCCAATCTTAAGACTTCTCCAATATTCTAGAGGCAGTTTAATGCAATGAGTAAGAGTGTCATTAAATATTAACCTGAGCCCACGACTTTACCCAGGATCAACAAACACCGGCTCAGAGGAAGACCAACAGCAAGAGTCCAGCCAGTGAAGTTGTGGAAAGTTTGTGTTTACCAGCGGCCTGGATTGGAACCCCTGCCTGGGGTAGCTTCGCTCCCTCTAACCTTTTGCATATGCAAACATAAGGACGTAAGGACACGGTTTCCTGTGTTAGTTCACTGACCGACCACAGAGACGAGAAGAAGAGGCAGCACTTTGGTGCGACTCGGTGAAGCGCTCGGGCTCCAGCGGACTCATGATGCAGTAAATCCAAGATTGCAATTGCCTTTTTTTACCATGGCGCCTTCTTTTCTATTGTATACAGTTTTTTTTTATTCCAGTTCTTTCGGAGTTTTTTTTAGGAAGATCTGGAAAGACAAAAAAACATGCAAGTTTTGGAGGTAAAAAGAAAAATAAGATAGGCATTCTATGAAAGCCATACGAGACCAAGGTTTTGGACAGAAAAAGCTTTATAGGCGACGACAAACCCTCCTGGGTTTGGTTTGTGGAACAAAGAAATGATTAGGAGACCTAATCCATCACAACTCCTTTATAGTCTGAAATAATCCAACCATTTCTCACCGCACCAAAGTGTCTTTGGGTCTGAAACACTAACATCTGTTGATTGTTTATTCCTGATCTGAGTGATGGTTTTACTCCCAGAACACAGTTCGTCTTCGATGTTTTCACTTTATTCCTTTCTTTAAATGTACGAGTAGACATTAAATGAGTAAAGGGTCCAGTGTGGACAGTACAGTTTTTTCTACAACGTTCCTTTAGAATCTCTCATGAAGCACTTAGTGAGCTAAGAAGGAAATACTCCGTTTGTTATATGTCGGAATATTATTACTTAGATTATACAGCTACCAAACCACTTGCACAAATTTGACCATTAAAGTAGCATAAAGTTGAAACTAGATGTTCTCATTTTTTCAGTTCTCACTTTCTGACATCAAATCTTTTTTCTTTTAGGTCAGTTGGGACAAAAACAAATTCCTAAAAACCACAATAACGAGATATTTTGGTATCTACTTTCATTCCAGAAGTTTCTAACAATAGTTGCAGGAATCTGCTGAAACATTTTCTATGGTACTGAAATCAGGAATCAAATGTTTTCTTATCCAACTGAACCAACTTTATATACACAGTGGTGGCATTTTAAGGGTCATTCACTGCAAAAATACAAAATTTTAACACATATTTTTTGTCTAGTTTGGAGAGCAAATATTTTAGTACACTTGAAACCAACTTACAAGTAACTTTAACAATATATAGAACTTTTTAAAGTAGATAATTCCTTAATGTTAATGAAAACGTACTAGTTCACTGGCAGATTATTTCGCTTATAGCATGAGAAAAATGTCTTGTTTAAAAAAGGACCTACATCTTGCTACAAAGTTACTTTTTAGCAAGATTTTTTTTGTGTTTTTGCAGTGGGGGTCTTCCAAACACTGCAAAAACACAAAATCTTACCAAGTATTTTTGTCTGGTTTCTTACACTTGAAATAAGACAAAACTAGCTTAAAAAAATTATTCTTTTAATATACAGAAGCTTGTTTAAGTCAATAATTTCTTAATGAAAAAGTGCTGTTTCCACTGGTAGAAATAATTTTTGAGAAATACTTTTATTAAAATCAATATTCAGTAATTATTGACTTGGGGGGGAGGGGGGATGTCTTCAAAAAGTTACTTGTAAGTTAATTTTCTCATTTTCACTAAAAAGTAGATAGTAGACCAAAAATACTTGGTAAGATTTTGTTTTTGCAGTTTTATTTTCTGATACTTCAACATGGTGCCATCTTTGTGAAGTGCACCGGTCCCTCCTGCAGCTTTTTATGTTACTTTTGGAGTAATGACTTCTTCCATGCTGAGTGGGCTTCCAGCCCACGTTGTTGAATTCTGTTTTCACTTTAACAGCTTCAGTCACAAATATCACCAGATTACGTTATTTCCTAGATTATAGAACCTGATTTCTACCTAATTATGATGAACGCTGGATATTTTCATGCAACATTTGACAAAATAAACACCTTCAGTCGTCTGGAATTAGACCGAATGATAAAACCAGACGTTTTGAGATCCACAGGTCGTTTCTCATGTCTTTGTAAGGTTTTATTTTCTCATGGCGTGACATAAGGAAGCAGAGTGTTTGCCTTAAAATGCTTCCATAGATGTGTTTCCTGTTAGCTTAAATGTTGCAAAGGAAGCCCACAGATGCTTCTGGGATTTTCCAAATTGCATAAACGATTAAATTATGTAGCAAGTACAAATAAATGTGGTTTTCCTAACTGACCTAAAACAGTAAAAGATTGATTTGGTTTGGTTTTACAGTATATATATCTGGTTTTAACTGCCTTACACTGATGCTTCGGTTATTATTGAGGTTGCCAAAGGTCCTTGAACGTCATGTGTTGATAAAAAATTATTGAACTCCTTGATCTGTTAAGCTGAGAAATCAAATATCAGAAACGTTTGGCAGGTCTGGAAACCATGTTGTAGTTTATTGCTGGTCTAAAACTATAACCATGCTGAGTTTTGTCAGGTTGTTTTTCGTGAACAGACCACATTAAAACCGTTTGTTAGGAGTCACGATTTCTGAAAGCAAGAACAAGTTTGGAGGTCATTCAAAGTAAAGAACATGCTGTGCAGATCTGATGTTTTCACTGTTGCTTGTCAGGATTGGCTGTAATTTTTTTTTTTCATTTTAAATGCACTTGAGAGTATAAAACGTGTTTTTTATCATTGCATTGTTTTCAATCACTTCTTTCTTACAGTAATCTGTTGTGTTTGTTTCATGTCGCGATACACATTCTTTCAGTTAATACAATGGTCAGTGTTGCAGGATTAAAGTGATATTAATTCACTGTTTGCTGCATTTTTATTATGACTTGTGACTACGGAAGCCCATTTCTGCCACAAAACAAAAAAATAAAAGCCCAACAGGAAGTCGAATTAAGAGATTAGAAGTCATAATTAAGATACAATCCAGCCAATGTTAGCTTCTATTAAAGATTAGCTTCACGGATACATGGTGTATTACGGTAACAGCAGTAGTCAAAAAGTCAAAATTATGACTTTGAATCTAATAATTATGACTTAGAAAGTCAAAATTATTACTTGACTCATAATTCTTATTTTATATCTCATAATATTGACTTTGAAAGTCAAAATTATGACTTTCATAAATACAATCCGGTTGGGCTTTTATTTTGTCTATTTTTAGTTTTGCAGAAATGGGCTTCATTTGCAGATAATGTTCCTACTTTTATCATAAAACAACAAATAAGTCAAATTTTATTTGATGGGGAAAGTTGTAAGCTTTAATATTAATTTGCATGCAGTAACAAAATACCTGCCAAAAATACTGAAACTGGATAATTCCCATCTAAAGCTGCAGTTAAGTTGGTTATCTTTGAGGCAAACCCAACATAGATAAACCCGGTAGGATAAATACTAATATCAGCTACAGTGGCGGACATAGAAAATGTTACTAATAATTTTACTATTTTACTTATTAATCAATATTAAGGAATTACTTAAATCAAGCTCTTATTTCTTTCTGAAAAGTTACTTGTAAGTTAGTACACTTGAAATAAGACAAAACTAAGATATTTGCACTAAAAACTAAACCAAAAAAAACTTGGTAAGATTTGGTGTGATTCTAATCAAACAAGGGATTAGTTTTTCTAAGGAACGTTTTAAGGACATAACTTCTACATGGGGGCAGTTGCACCCTATAGCCCCCATGTATATCCGCCCCTGACAAGGTGTAAATCACAGCTAAGCCATTTACGAGTAATGAGGACAATGATGGTGAAAGTTCCCCCCGCCCCCCTAAAAGTTTGTTGTAGTTAATATGTAACCAGAAGAACATACTTGTACTTTGTTTCCCCAAATAACAGAAGCAGTTTACAGAACTCATCTGGATCGAGCTGAAAGGTGCGTACGGTGGCTAGTTGGGCTAGGAATACATTTATAGTTTCTCTGTAAATGTAGATCATTTACATTTTTTACTCTTCAGATGAACTGCAAAAACACAAAATCTTACCACGTATTTTTGTCAAGTGGAAATGTCTTAATGTACTTGAAATTAAACTAATATAATTTACAAGAAACTTTCAGTAAAATATCAGCCTGTTTAAAGTAAATAATTGTTGAATATTGATTTTTAAAAAAATACTATTTCCACTGGCAAATTGTTTAATAAGACATTTTCCCAGTGTTATAACTGAAAAATGCTAGTGGATTGTTTATTTTAAACAGGCTCCTATGTCTAGCATATGTAGGGTCATTCAATGCAAAAATACAAAATCTTACCAAGTATTTTGGTTACTTATCTTAGCACACTTGAAATAAGACAAAACTAACGTTTAAATAACTTTTCAGTAAAATACAGGATTTAAGTAAAAAATCTCAAAAAGTAAAAAATCTGTAGGTCCGCTGGCAGTTTTCAACGTATGGAAACTTGGAAGAAATGTTTTCAACTTATAACATGGAAAAAATGTTTTGGTAGAAGTTCAAAAGAAATCTGACAATATTTATCAATATTCAATAATTATTTAATCAGGCTTATGTCTTACTGAAAAGTTACTTTTAAGCTAGTACAAATAAGATGAAACTAAAATATTTGCAGTAAAAAACTGGACTAAAAATACTCGGTAAGATTTTGTTGGGGTTGTCTGCAATGTAAAAAGCAGATTTTGCAGGCATCAAAGATGCTTTTGAGCAAAATTTGTTGATTGAAAACTTATTAAAAGAAAGGCATCCGGTTTTTAAATTTTTTGGATCTATCAATTCCAAGCAGTAATAACAGGATTTAGGTCATTTTTACTTTGAAAAAGCTTCCAGGACGTTAGCAAGTTTTGCTAATTAATGAACTGCAAAAACACAAACTCTTACAATGTATTTTGAGCCGGTTTCTTTTGCAAATTTCTCTCTACACTTGAGATAAAACAAAACTAACTGACCAGTAACTTTTCAGTAATTTATAGGAGGTATTTTCAAGAAAATAATTCCTGTACAAGTTTTGTAATTTTTAGTTTCCATATTTCCACTAGAAACTAAAATATTTTGTAATATTGTGTTTTTGAAGTATTGCTCATTTGTCCACAAGTGCAAATATATTAGTACACTTTAAGGAAAATAAAACTAACTTACAAGTAACATTCCTGAAAGATATACATGTGTGTTTTAAGTCCATAATTCCTTAAGTTTTGTCTTATTTCAAGTGTATTAAGATATTTGAACTAGAAATTCAACCAAACTACTTGGCAAGATTTTGTGTTTTTGCAGTGTAATTAATTTGCTAAACTTGCTACAACACAGGAAGCGTTTTCAAAGTAAAGTGACCCAAGAGTGACTAGACGAAAACACTTGGTAATATTTTGTATTATTGCACTTAAAACATCTTTCTGTTTCAGGTTCAGAGTTCAAACCTTAACTTACTCCAGCTATGGGAACCCACAAACTGGAAATGCCGCTTATTTTCCTGCTAACCTGCTTGTGCTACGTGGCTCCTGTCCATCCAGCAGCGCCTCCAAACGTCACCATCTCCCATCTGTCCTACAAGAACATGGACTTCGCCATGAACCTTTACAGAAAAATATCCAGCCACCACGACAAGAACGTCTTCTTCTCTCCTCTGAGCATCTCCACCAGCTTCGCCACCCTGCTGATGGCGTCTGGCGGCGTGACGCACCAGGAGATCCTCAGGGTACTGAACTTGGAGCAGTTGGAGTCGGCCGACCAGCCGGAGC